TTTGCAAAAAATAGCATTTTTTAAAGTGAATTTGTGGAAAAATTTGTGAACCGATTTTTATAAAATATTATTTAAAACAAAGTTCGATAATTTAAGCATACATGCGTGTTTCAAATTTTTCATTTGGTTTTCTCATTTAGGTACGGTGAGCCAAAATTAACCGGCGCGATACTAAACCCAACCCCAAAAAAGTAGTAAAAAATCGTGCTGAAATGCCCATACAACGAGCCCATTAATATACATATATAGATGTTTGTTTGTCTGACAGTAACGCACAGCGTTCTTATTTTAATGTCCAGCGCCTGTTGATCAGGAATTTACAAGAAATATGACAAATAAGTTCACGATGTACCGTTAAAAATGTGCCGCAGCACTTATGAGAACAATGCAGCAGCGCTAACGCTGACGTCACAGCCACCGACGCAGACAAAACTGCCGTTGTCAAAGCTGTTGGCACACGTTGATTTTTTTTAGCGTTGATGTTGTAGTTGTAATTTCCACTCGGTATGAACTTTCTTGCAATAAATGTGTTGTTAAAATAAATTATGTATATACATACATATATATTTTTCACGATGTTTTGTAAAATTATTATTAACTTTATAATTTGTTTTTAACAAAATACTTTTTTTTTTTAAACTCGTCTGAAGTTTAATAATTAACGCTGCCAAGTCTTCTACAATTTGATGCACTTTTCATATAAAATTATTTGCTCTCGTTTTTGTTTGTTTGACACCTATGCTTGTTTATGCGTACATATCTATGCATGCAAGCACTGCACCGTTACTTGTTTTTACTATGCCTTTTTATGTTTCTCCGTACAAATTTCACACTTTAATATTTCTTTTTTTTATAATTTTTACTCTTCTCCGCTAAGTTTGCTTAACATTGTTTCATAAATTTATGAATTTATTGTAATTAGTAATTTTATTAAGTTTTCTCGCCTCTGTCTTGCACAATCATTCACTAAATTGCCACTCTAGCGCCTTCACGCAATTGAATTCCAATATAAACGGCAAATTGGCAGAAACCCGCTGAAGCAAAAAATAAACAGTTTTGTGTTCTTTGAGCGACAACGATCCAGACACGAATGAGTACGACCAACAAAACAACCAGCTAAGCGGAGCAACGCAGAGGTAGCGCGCAGCCACAGCAGAGCATCGAATTGGTAGAGCGCCGATGAAATATACCCACTTTAACAACAACGCGAAGCGGCAACACTTCTCTGTCACGATTCCAATTAACATGATGCAGAAACGCTGACGCTAGCGTCGACAGCGAGTGGCAGCGACGCGCCGAAAACTCGATTCGAATTGGAATTGAGAGCGCCGCATGTACACGCGCCAATTGAATGCGAAAACCAACAAGTAAAAGGGGCAAACTTGCATATGTATGTATGTGAATATGCAGTTTTCGACAAGCAGCAGTAAAATGATAGCAAAAAACGAAACCGCCACCCAGAAAAGGAGAAAAAAGTGGCGCGCTGCCGCGTCGCTAGATTGCTGGGGGCCGCGGTTGGCTGCAATAATTGATCAAAATGTTGATTGCCGCCAGCAATGAGCGTTGATAAACCCATATGCATGAAAGAGAGCATGCATGGGAGAGCGAGAGAGTGCGGGCCTAGCTTGCGCGCGCCTAATCAAGAAAATAGCAAACAAAAAGAAGAAGGTCTATATCAATTTATATACATACATATATTTGAAATTCTCACCTATTTGCTGCGCCAGCAGTGTACCAATTCCAATCAGTCCGTCGCATTACGCCATGAAACACGATTTGTTCCTATGCGCTTGCACGCGCTCTTTTGCTCGACAATTTTTTATGCGCTCTGCAGTGTTTCATTACCGTTTCACATTTCCAATCATTCGCGGGCTTCGTCTTATTAGATTTCTGCTGCTCTTTATTTGTGGGCTATGCGCCTCGTGCCATCAATACCAATATAATACCAACAACAACATGTGGCTATCATAACAATATTCAGTCGAAAAAAGGCAATCATTAAGGGGGTTTTTATTGCGCTTTGTTGGTATATGCCGTGCTGTAGCGCAACCAATCCGCGTGCAGCAAACACAACGGTGCTCAATCGCCCTTTCACCGCGCTACAGAGCATGACTATATAGCAATCATTAAAACAACTACAAGCTCGATTATATTTTATTACTGTTGTTGTATTACTCGTTGGCTCTTCTTTCAATTATATTTTCATTGCTATTGGAGCGCTCTACATGACGCGCCGCGCCGCGTCGCTCGTCTTCGTTACGCTAGTTGTTTGTAGTGTGCGCGCAGCAGTCGTCGGGTGGCTTGGCTGCGTGGTTGGTTGTTTTGCTGACTGCTGCTACTGTTGCTATTGCTGTTGCCTTTGCTGTTGTTGCCATTTGCCTGGCAGGTGGTGGTGGAATTACAATCGTATCGTTTCAATATAAAATGTGCGCTCTCCCAGCTGTGGCGCGCATACATATTCTGCATACGATACATTGCAGCAGCTCGGCGTTGATATCGTGCCGGCCCATTCGTGTGTTCAAAGTGGGGCGCGTTAGTAGCGCTATTCCGCTCTAGCACCAGCGGTGTATGGGCGTGTGTGCGCCACGTTGGTAATCATCGTTAATGCTGTCGTCTACGACGTAGTCGTCGTTATATGGCTGGCATTGCCATCGTTTCAATCAGAATGTAATCGCGCGTTATGGGCAAGTTTGTGTGCGTGTGTATGTGTGGCGTTGTGTGCGCGCCTTTTTATAAATTTTTTATATTTATTTCTCATTTACCTTATTCGTAAATTTATATTAAAATACGCCCTTTCATATTTTTTTCCTGCTGGCGCTCGCGCTCGTCGTGTTCCTCATCAGTAGGGGCGTGTTCAATTCGTTTTGTGGTGGCTGTTGTTGTTGCTTGTTTTCTCAGACATTTTATTTTACCTTTGTTTTTGTTTTTGTTGTGCTTGTTGTTGATTGAAATTTACTCCATATTTGCGCGCATGTATCGCTCGTAACATTTGCGATTACACACGTTTTCGCAAACAAACGCGCGATTTCTATTCGTGTGTGTGCGTGTGTAGCACTTATGATTCGCTTTTCGTGCTTTAATTCACATATAATTTAGTTTCGCCCGTCATGTAATTGTATTTGTAGTACAGAGTAACTAATTAAATTTACCACGCCCCTGATTTTTGCTATTTAAAAAGTTTCCTTTTACTGCCCATAATTCGCGTGAATAAATGGAAATGGCTGTTTTGCATTAAATGGCCGTTATATAAATGGCTGTTTGTTTAGAAATTGAAATAATTAAATGAGGCATTGCGAATTTGGGAATTTGTGTAACACAAAACAGCAAAGCGAAAATGGCATAAAACAAAATGGCGCAGTAAACTTCAATAAAAAATATGCATAAATTATATTTGCACTAATTGAAAAATCTTTTATGGCACTGACTCGTGCAAAATATCAAAAATTTATTTCGCCATTTTTATATTAGAATTGCAAAATTGCATTCAATAATATGTGCCGCAAGTACATACATATGTATGTATGTACACATGTTTACATATATTGTAAAACTTAGTGGCTTGACTGCAAATTGGGCAATGTGTTTGATTTTATCTTTTATTTAAACATTTAAAGTAAAATACCTAACAAAACAAAAATTATTGCAACTGCGACGATACCATAATATATTTCTCAGACTCATTTCTTATTGCTTAAAGGGTATTAAAAGATCCAAAACGTATCTGGAAATTGTAAATAAAACGTAAAGTATTTAATAATTGATCAACGTTTAATTTGTCGCCTTCAAAGTAATCCCCACCAGATGTAAGTCCGTACGATAGTTATACATATGTACGCCATTCTGCTCCGATGCTTGGGAGATTTATGACAAACTCGAGAAAATCAAATTTTTTCATGTTTCGATGGTTTTGATATTCAAAAACATATCTCTAAAAGCATTTTTCGAATTTTAATTATTTTTAAACATTTTAGTGTCATGGCAACTTGAACGTCCTTGAACGCGGGCTACGAAACGCGTTTCTTTCGCAGCTAATTTTTGCATGCGGTCCTCATGATATCTCTTTTCCAATCAAATTACCCATTAAATCATTAAATCAAATCGATTTTCATTTAAGAAGGTCCTGTGAAATTTTAAGTCGATCGGTTCAACTTTTGCGTAAAACCGCGTTTAAAGTTTTGAAAGTTTTGAATGATGATTACTTGATAATTCTTAAAAAATACGGTCATATCTCCAAAACTTGTAGCTAAATGTGTGTGCTTATATTCGGAGAACATTCTTCAGTAAACATTCATATATACATACATATATAGTATACATACATATATATTTAAAATTAAAAAAAAAGAGAAAATAATGAGAACAGCGATGATTGATTTTTCAGTCATTTTATGGTTATTTTTTTAATTTTCTTGTTTATATGTAGTAATCAAGAATCATTGTCTTGGTTTTAATATCATCGCTTCTTCAAAGACTCACAACTTTATGAAATTTTTATTATTTTTTTTGTTTAATTTGCTTTGTGTACTCTTATAATAGGAATAAACAAATAATATGGTAAAAAAATATCACAATTACCCCTTAATTACATCATATTTGACAGTGCCTGAAGTATTATATCTGGCTATAACCGCGTAAGCGGTGTCTACAAGTACGCCAATAAAGAAGAAATAAAGGTACGATGTTCTAAGCAATTGCGATTTTATATGTAGTTAGATTTCTGGTGCATTCTTTGCTTTTGAATTGAAATGTGTACGAGTGATGACTTCACTTTATCAATATCTAGTACCCGAGCTTATAATCCAGTTTGCTATAGATTGTCTTTCTTCATAAAAAAGTGTACTCTATAAACCTTGACCCAGACCTTCTCATTAAGAAAAAAAAAACAATATATATTTGTTCCGACATAATATCTGCGAAAATGCAGTATTCATGTGAAGAGAAGGCTGAAAATAGATATTTAGCTGTTGCGGCCAAACAATAACTTTATGGATGGTTGCAATGAAAATTGTAAAAAATAATTTTCTAAATATCAGATCGCTTTTTTAAGAGAAAATTTTGAAAACACCGTTTTTTTAACTTTTTGTATTTTTCCATAGTCTAGGCCTTTAAAAATAACGTATTAAAACTTAAAATTAAATTAATTTTTGCTTAATTTATTTGGAGTAATTGCCTTTTTGGTTTAATTAATTTTAATTCAGCTAAAAGAAAAAAATGTTCAAAAAGAACCAGCCTTTCTTAGCGGTGTCCATCAACCAATTTTTCAGAGTACGAAGCACACTCTGTGATATAAATATAGTATATTAATAATTAAAAAATTGTTAGGGTGAGCCAAAAAAAAACGAATATCTAATTATTAGGCTAATTGAAATTACTCCACTCATAAACTGGGTAGATATTAGTTTTTTGATTTGGTGCACTTTAATATACATACGTACACAAACCCCTGTGTCAAAAATAAATTAAAAAAAGACATAAATATGTACAAAAAAATACAACATACATACATATACGCTTATAAATAGCTTACGTATTAAAACATATTCACACTAAAACAAATTAGATATATGCAAAATTGGCACAAAAATATATTTATTTTTTTCGCTCTTAATGAGCGTTTTTTCATACTACTAAGACTCAAAAAATAACACGAAATTAGTGAAATCGTTCGATACTTTGCGTTTGTGCTATTTTCATTGAAATTTACCACAATTATTGTTTGAAAACCGAAAAAAATACAAAAAAAAAAGTGTTCGCTATTGACTTAACTCTACAAATTTCCTGTCAAATAATGTCGTCAGTATGTACTTAGCATAGCCAAAGGTAAACTAGGAATTAATATGCGAAGCTCTTACTCTATACTTACTTGTATACATATGTATACGGTATATACAATATGTGCGTTCACTAATACACTCACGTCTGCTTTAGTAGATTAACAATGAAATTTGAAATAGATATATTTTTAAACTTTAGATTTCAATTTTGTGGGTTTTTTCAACTCTTTCTAACTAAGAAGGCGGCCGCAAGCAACTACAACAAAAGCTTTTATTGTTCACATCCGTTGTATTGTGTGCGT